AACAAGATGTCGTAATTGTAACATACTCTGACAGCATGCGGAGAAAGGTGAAAACAGGGATGCTTTGAGCAGAGTGGCAAGCTTTACTGGGAAGGTCACAGGTAGTGAGCATACTTTGGATCTTTTCTCCAGGCGATGCCGGCGTGGTGGGTAATGACCAGGCAGACAGACTGACTAGATCTGCACCACTGGGTGGTGAATTAATACACGACAAGGCAGATGTGGTCAAGGCCTTTTAGGAACAATCAACGAAATCAGTAGAGAAACAAGATTATTATGGTCTGGAGAGAATGAGGCACCTGGGTGTAACCAGAGGATACACTCAGAGGTAAGGCAAGATTGACATACAATCAGATTGTGACAAGTACCATCAGCTGCTGAAGATGAGGACTGAGTAGGCATGAGAATGCTCTGAGTGCTATGATGTCAACTGTTGACTCCCAAATAAACAAGCATTTTTTTTTCTTGAGCTGTTGGCAAATAATAAGCCGCCGCTTGCACTATTATAATTTTGGAGATATTGGCTGAGAAAAAATATAGCTTGGCAAATTGAAGTATGTTCATAGTGTAATTTCTTCTTTTATTATTATTATTATTATTAAAAATTCGAGTCAGACTGGTGGGCTGCGGGTTGCATGCGGCTTTTTGCAAGCACGCACAAGGCCTTCGCAAAAGAAATATTCTGCAACAATTTGTATTAAATTACTTCAACTAGTTGTCTTTAAGGGGCTTTCATGACGACACATATGGGATCCATGTGGCCCCAGGGGACCCTCAGTGTGACGTTCGTGCCCTAACCCATGTTTCTTGATAAAAGATAAGAGCCCGACTGCCTGATCTAAAAGTAAATACCGCGGAATAGGACACAAAAAATATTTCTTGATGGCAAAACAAAAAATGGTCTTTAGCAGACATGAACTGGTGGACGGCTTATTCTACAGAGAGAGAGAGAGAGAGAGAGAGAGAGAGAGAGAGAGACAGACAGACAGACAGACAGACAGACAGACAGACAGAGAGAGAGAAAGAGAGAGAGAGAGAGATAATATATTTGTAACGGAATAAAAAATTATGCTACCTAGCATGAATGCAAGCTTATCGGCAATAAAGACATTTGTCACGAACCTGGCAGACACATGCATACAATTACTCTGGTTATTCCGCCTTCTCTACTGTGTATGTATAAATAAAATCGCTGTGAAGTGACATGACACACTTGGGTGGATTTCCCAGTACTTCTATTTTAAAGGTATCATCGTGACCTTAATTACTCACTGCTGCTGCTCTCTATGCAAGTATTTATTTCCGTGCTTGGTTCCATTCAGTCTCAACTGCTACACCGTTGCGTGAAGCTTGTGTGTGTTGGTTTCGTTTGTATTTATTATATCTAAAAAACATAGGACATACCAGTTAACCCAAGCCAAGGTTTTTTTGTAGACTTGCTCGATACTGGCTGGAGTGTTTCAGATTAGTTTTCTATGCGAGAGGTAGCGAGGCTCTCTTCAAGCCAGTTGTCACATGTTGAGACATGTATGGTAATGTATTATTATTATTATTATTGGCTCTTGCTTTCTTGATAGGCCCCGGTAACCCACGGTGGCCTTTTGTTGTTGCTTTCTTCTTTCTTCTTCTTCTGCTTCTTTCTTCTTTCCTCTTCTTCTTTCTTCTTCTTCTTTCTTTTTCTTTCTTCTTCTTTCTTCTTCTTTCTTCCTTCTTCTTCCTCTTCCTTCTTCTTCTTTTTCTTTTTCTTCTTTTTCTTCTTCTTCTTCTTTTTTCTTCTTCTTTTTTCTTCTTCTTCTTTCTTCTTCTTCTTTCTTCTTCTTTTTCTTCTTCTTCTTCTTCTTCTTCTTCTTCTTCTTCTTCTTCTTCTTCTTCTTCTTCTTCTTCTTCTTCTTCTTCTTCTTCTTCTTCTTCTCTTTTTTCCTACTTTAAACTGCGTATAAACATCTGAACATTCCTAAAAATTAATTGTCCACAAGGCCTTTAAAGCTCAGTTATTGTCGAGGATGGTGTTTGCCCCAGTTGTTACCCATTGCCATTTCGTGAGATCCACAAGTGCTATAAATATGTCACCTCGCTGATTCTTTGCAACGAGGGCATCGCTACAAGAAACTGCTTATTTTGCGCTGCTTACTTTTGTGTTGAAGTTTTCGAGTGGCACCGCTATTTGAAAAGTTTTCCCCCAATTATGGAGCAAAGTCTCAGCGCTGCAACGAGTGTGTTGTAGAGCTGCTTATCTTTCACTATGTTCAGAGACATAGCGTGCTGTACAAGATCGCTATTTGAAATTCACATTTGTGGAGTACTATTTTAAATCTTGCACTATTATCATCATCAACATTTACAACAACAACGATAACAGCAACAACAACAACACACATTGTAATATCTTGAGGAGAAGCAGACAATTACCAACATGCATTTAGATATGCAACAAATGGGTTGAGTAAACGCGAACATCTAAAAGGAACCCTAAGGCGAATGTTAAATAAAGGCGCAACATTTTCTGGACTGGAATTGCTTGCATGCTATTACAGCATTTGCACAGAATACAATGGGAAGGGAGATCTAACTGTCATTCCTGTGTGGCGTGAAAGGCAACAGGAATATGATGATGAAAGTAAAACACACATGTAAAAGACACCTTTCACACAGTGCCGTGGACATATAATGCTAGACTCGTAGTTTTGAAGACCAATTGTTGCTAGAAAAACATAAAATCAGAATCACAACATGTTTGTTGAGATATATAAGAAAGGTGGCGGAAATCTAAAAACATTTCATACAAGACTAAGATTCGATTGCTCTGAGCACTAGCTATTAGTACATTCACATATGGCTGTGAAACGTGGACCTTAACAGCCGAACTTGAAAGAAAGATACAAGCATTAGAAATGCGATGTTTCGGAAACATTCTTGGCATATCATACAAAGACCACACTAAAACGAGGAAGTTCGCCATAAAATTACACACCACGTTGGCAACCAAGAACCTCTTTTAACTACAGTGAAAAGTCGAAAGATACAATTGTATGGACATGTAATAAGATCTAACGGCCTCTCAAAAACAATACTGTAGGGCTCAGTAGAGGAGAAGAGGCAGATCAAGAAAGACCTGGTTACAGAACCTCACTGACTGGACAGGCCTCAGGCATGCCATCATGGTCCATCGCAACTGACCGCCGAAGGTGGAGAGAGATGATCCGACAGTTAAAACAGAAACTGGTGACCCAACGATACGTAGTGTTGCGGGTTGATGATGATGCAATGGGGCTAAATGCTGGATGACAGCATTTGCTTTCCGTACTCTGGCTTCTATCTCTCTCTCTCTCTCTCTCTCTCTCTCTCTCTCTCTCTCTCTCTCTCTCTCTCTCTCTCTCTCTCTGTCAAGTCTGCCATCCTCCTTAAATATACTTCCTTGTTATTTTAATTCTCGTACTTGTTTGATTGTAGTACGGTTAACATGAACGTTCATGGTATTGTTTCTTGCCTATTTCTTACATCAGTTTTCGAGGAGTTAATTCTCATATCATAATGTGTGCAGGTTTGATGTAAGAGTCAATATGGTGTCCTAAATTCTGTTTTTGGTGGTGTATTAGGCGTTGATCGTCTGCAAACGAAGTTCATTGTTTTCTTCAGTGTCTGTATTTTCCCTTGTATAATTCTACCCATGTATATATAAACATGCCCTTACCGAGTGCCAGGTAAGTGATCAGTCCTATTAGAACAGAGTGCCCCCGATAAGAAGTTAGGAAATGCAGATAAAGATCAGGGGCGGCGAAACAAGGCGGCCTAGGCCATATGGGCCCCGACCCCACTGGCAGAAAATATGCGAGGAGTAAGTGACCTCCTTTACTTGTATAGAGGTTCTCCCCCTCCCCCTCCCCCCCACAGATCCCAGCGCCAAACTTTGGTGTGTGTGGTAAAGTGTGTGTGTGTGTGTGTGAGTATATATTTCAAATGACTTTAAAGATCAAAACACGTGTTATATTTATTTGTCATTTAGCATACTACGAGTATAATTATTATTAAGAGTAATATTACTGTGCACTCCAATTAGGCTTATGTTCTGTGAGCTCCCCCCCATCTCTCTCTCTCTCTCTCTCTCTCTCTCTCTCTCTCTCTCTCTCTCTCTCTCTCTCTCTCTCTCTCTCTCTGCTAGAAAATTTATAACGGGACTTTTTCCCACTCCCGAGCTCATGTTTTCTTTGTGTCAACAACCCTTGGTGTTGGTTATCAGTTTGTTCGTTACCTGGTAAAACTGAACGAAACATATATACTCGGTCACATTTTGCTAAGATATTTATACAACCAAAAATATGCATTTTAAACACGTTTTCTTTCTTTGCAGTTTGGAAAACAAGATCTATGATGCGGCTCGAAGTAAAAAAAAAAACAAAACATTTCAACCTTCCTGTTGTTGAATGAAGCGTATTTCTATTGGCTATAACGTCTACAGTATTTGGTCAAGCTATTTAGTTAAAGCTATGAAGTTGTTCTTGAGCATATTCCTGTTTTTTTATGAATTGTCATTGGTATGTAGAGTTTCTGCCAGGACAAATCTCTATAACCAATCTGTTTTTTCAAATGAAACAAAAGTGGCTAAATTGCAGCAGCGAAAAGCTGATTTATTGTCACCATTGCTGTTTACACATGTAACTTCACGTAGCCTACATTCTTTACGTTCAACTTATGTGAAGGAAAACAGGAAAGATGATAGACACGGAAGTTATTTATTTGTAAATTTACCAAGGCAGAAAAATTTAGTTTATAATCGTGACCTCGATGCATTCTCTGGGCAAGCAGTCGCCATGGATGGTGAATCAGACACGGCAAGAATACAAAAACACGAGAAGAAAACAACACAGTCATCAAAGGAGCTACTAAATGGAGAAGGTTGGAGCACAGCATGGGGTCCTGTTTGGTATAAAGTGACGGACAGCCGTACAGCAGACGTTGTTGCTAGGAGTATCTCACACGATGGTGTCACTGAAGATTCTTACATGGTTGAAGGTTTAGCTTCACATTCAGAGCCACGACAGTTCCAATACGATGATGATGATTATGATGTTGATGAGTATAATGATTACGATGATGGGGATAATTTGAGGAGTAGAAAATGGAAAGCGCCGCCTGTAGACTACTACAGATGTGGCAAATGCGTTTGTTATAATTCAGAAAACGGCTTGACCCTGCATGCCGATTGTCAGTACCTCTTGTTGCGACAAATTCCAGACTACCTCTCTGAGAACATTACTGACCTTAACTTGTATCATAATCATGTCAGTCTTGAATTTGATAGACTGTTACGTTACGTGTCTCTTCGTGTCCTAAATGTCAGCTCTAACGCCATCAAGGAACTCCCCAGCTGCACATACATCAACGGCATTAGTCTGCACACGCTGGATTTGTCTGACAATTTAATTAGGACTATAAGCAATAACTCATTTTTGTGTCTACCCAATCTGAGAACTCTCTATCTGCAGAAAAACTACATCCAAACAGTCACCAGCTTGATGTTTACAGGGCTGAACAGGCTACAGCGGTTAGATCTTAGCCAGAATTATCTGTCAACAATAGAACATAACGCCTTTAACAACTGTCGCGGTCTCAAGATGCTAAATTTAGGTAACAATAAGAACATGACATACGGGGTGAAACAATTCAACTCGACAATATTTAAGCCACTCAAACAACTAGAAACTTTTTATATTCAAGGATTCATTTCTTCGGTCGGCTACGTCTACCCAACGGCTGTTTTGTTGGAGCTGACAAATCTGCGGGAACTGAGTATTGATGGCGTGGGCATGGGTAGGTTCGAGTCCAATCTCACAGCACTGAAAGACATGACCGTGTTAAATATAGGAGTGGATGGCCATTGTGCTATAAAAGTTCTCACTGAGGATTATTTTATAGGCTTCCCCAATCTGAAGTCTGTGCATTTATTCGGCTGTAAGCCTACTAAAATATCTCCTTTAGCATTTGCTGCCAATAAGTTACTTATACACCTCAGATATACCAAAACTGCTTATGTCTTTGAAGAGCTGTTTAACAGTCTTTACGGACTGCAAAATAGCACCCTGAAATCATTGTCAATCAACTTAGTGACCAAATATGCTAAAAGAACTGCGTGTCGGCAACTATGCATAGACCATGTAAAATACATTAAAAACATGCACCATCTAGAAGAACTCAATTTGGAGAATAATCTCGTATCTCTGATTCAGTATGACTTTTTAATCAACCTACCAGTCTCGTTGAAGAAGTTGAATGTAAGGAAGAATACGCTGCATTATCTCAGAACGGTCATCAAAAATCCAGCAACTGGTAGACTCGTCAACCTTGTAGAGATTAAAGAAGACATGCAAAGTAATGTTGTCTTTTTTGAGGACAGTGGTAACTCTTTAGAAACAGAAGAAGATGACGTTAACAGCCAGGAAGTTGTCCATCCTGCAATGTCAAAACCTGCAACTTGCCCAAGCTCTCAAGACAACAATCAGCCTGAAACAGTTCAAGCGATATTGCCACCGAATCTTCAGATCTATTCTGCGTCTCAGTCGTTTCACTTCGGCGAAATATTAATATCACGAAGTACTGTGATTAATAAACTAAGGTATTTTGATATATCAAATTCATACATAACAGACTGGGGAAGCAAGCTGCTTCCTGAGCACATTGAAGTCGCGGATTTTTCCGAAAACTTCTGTGATTCCCTGAAAGTGTCGTTTTTCCGCCCAAATAATTCACTGAAAGAACTTCACGCTGCTGGCAACTTTCTTGGCGAATCTTTTGCTAACGATATCAGAGGTGAGATTTTATCTCGACTTCATCAATTACGATATCTGGATTTATCAAGAAACCATATTCAGGATCTCCCACATCCGTTCTTGACAGGTCTCACAAACGTTCAAGTGATTAATTTATCAGGTAACAACATTCACAGTGTCAGTCTCAACATTTCATCACTGAACAAACTCAGATTTCTTAACGTGAGCAGGAATTCAATCTCTTGGTTTAGCAGGCAGAGTTTGGATGACCTTGACCGTATAAACACGCGCCATCAAGTTAGCTTGGATCTGACATCCAATCCTTTGCCGTGTACCTGTTCTGGTTTGCCATTCATCCAGTGGTTAGCTAATACAAAGGTTCGAATCCTCAGCAAAGACTTTCTAACATGCGTAAACGACGTTAATGAACTAGAACCTGTTGGGGACTTGGATGCAAGATTCTTATCCCTTCAAAAGAAATGCGTCTCCAAAGTTGTTCTGATACTTATTATATCATTTTCTATTGCATTTGTTTTCGTTATTGCCTTAGCCGTTTGGATTTTCCGAAACCGTTGGAGACTCCATTACTTAAGAAACATTGCGATTGCCAGGTTATTTGGGTTCCCCCACAGAAATGCTGACGAAGACAAGCAATACGCATACGATGTTCATATTTTGTATTCCAAAGAGGACAAGGCCTTTGTTTTGGGCGATTGCTTGAGAGAACTAGAAATCAAACGTAATCATAAACTATGCGTGGAAGATCGCGATTTCTTGCTGGGAACTTTCATGACTTGTACAATCACCAGCGCCGTCTGCTCATCGCGATGGACTATACCTTTAATATCGCCAGATTTCTGGGCTAACGAGTGGGGCGAGTATGGGGTTCAGATGGCAGCGATGGAATCTATTCACGCACATCGCAATGTTCTCCACTTTCTCATCTACAAGCCAACTCCGGTGGAGACAATGCCCAGGAGTTTAATCAAACTGCTAAAGGAAAATACATTTTGCGAGTATCCGCCTGACGGCTGTGACGAAAACGTGAAAGAGGCATTCTGGGATGAGCTTTCTAGAACTATCGGTCACATACGGCAACAGGACATCGTAGATGGCAATTGCTGAATTGTTTCTGATTGATTAATTAGCTGATTGTCTTTTTGATGGATTAGTTAGTTGGCTGGTTGATTGGTTTAGTAATTGGTTGATAGAGTAACTTTCTTGTGGGTTGTTGGATCGCTGATTGCTTGTTTGCCTGGTTGTTTGGTTAGATGATTAATAAGTTAATTGATTGATTATTTTGTTCGCTAGTTGGTCCATTGTTTGTTTGTTTTGTTGATCGATTGAATGAATCTCGGACTGGCTGTTTGGTTAGCTGGCTGACCGTGAATCCCGTGAAGGTGGGGATCTAGGCATCCCGGCCCTCATAATTAGGGTGCTTTATGTCAACTCCTCTCAAATAAATAAGTAACATGTCAACTTCTCTGAAGTAAATAAGTAACGTGTCAAATCCACTGAAGGCTGAACTAGAAATCCAGACAAGACACAATACGCCTAAATATCACCTGAATACAGCTGAACTAACCTTAAGAAGAGGAGGACAATAGGAGCAAGAAGAAAACCTATGAAAAGAAGAGGGGGTAAACAATGCCACCTTTCCTGGAGGACTTGGACAATCTAGACTTAGACAGTCCTTAAGCCAACCTGTTTAGGTTAGGAAGCGCAAAGACATGTAATTAAACATGTAATATATTACCTTTACTTGATCTGAGCATCGAGGAGAACTGGCTCACAAACAGCATCCTGTCCCGAAATCTGAAGTAGTGAGAAAAGATGACTTGGAGAAAACGAACGTGGAGTGTACAGTTTTCCAGAAAAACGATTCAGAAGCGGACCTCAGCGATAGCAGATATAAAACAGTGAAGATGCAATGGCTAGTAAAGCACATAGGGCTGGAGAACTGGCTAGAGCAAGTGAGAGACTTTCAAGCAAGCCGTGACGAGAGCGACTTTGTATAAAGGATCTGCTGATTGTTGATGAAATACTACTCGTGTAACAGTCCTGCATTAGTCATTAGTGTGTTTACATTAGGAAACAATGTAGAAGCTGGACTTGTTACATATCACTTGTATAGAATGTAACGTTTAGTTATTAGACTGTTTACATAATAATAAAGTGTAGAAAATTCACCCATTAGGTGTCAGTATTCTATTCAAATTTGGGATGGTGCTATGTACCCAACAAGACTTATGGTGTGGGAGTAAAGATAAATGCTTGACAAGTTCTGCCTGAAAGTGGAATGGATAAATGTTTGAAAAGTTCTGCCTGAAAGTGGAATGGATCAATGTTTGAAAAGTTCTGCCTGAAAGTGGAATGGATCAATGTTTGAAGATGTTCTCTCAAAAAGGGGAATGGATCAGTGTTTAAAAAGTTCTGCCCGAAAAGTTAATGGATCAGTATTTGAAAAAGTTCTGCCCGAAAGGAAAATGGATCAGTATTTCAAAAGTTCTGCCTGAAATTGAAATGAAGCTATCTATGATCGCCAGATTGGTATGTATCATGTAGTGGCCCAGTGTTTCCATCTTTATGTTGAACAAGCATGCTCTTGGTACTCTCGACTTTCATTGCTCTGTCTTTTCTGATTTATACTGTATACACACTTTCAATAAATATAATATGCACACACTAAATTATATGCAGTGTTAAAAATGAATCTCGTAACTATTTATGCCATCATCTGCAAAAGATGTAAAAAAGGCTTATATTGGGGAAACCGACAGGAGGCTAGCTGATCGCTTCTGTGAACATCTTGCTGAAATTCGTAAAAAAAAAGCTTTCCAACCTGTCTTCCTCCATTTCAACAGTTCTGGATACCAAGGTGAAACAGATATCCTGCTAATAAATCTTGCTCCGGTGATCAAACCAGCCGCTACTCATTAGAAAATCGTTTCATCCATAGTTTTGGAGTTCTCTTTACTTGATCATTTATTCATATTTCTCCTCTTGTTTTACAAACGCCTTCTTACTTGTGTCGTATTATAACCCTTCCTATTCATATCCTTCCACCCCCCCCCCCCCTTTTCCCGTTTCCCATCACTTACTTCTTGGTTTCATGTTGACCTTAATGTGTTTTTCTTTAAATTGGCTTTGTTGTCTTGCCCTTGAATTCTCTAGTCACAATTTCCGCGGTATTTAATATTCCGTTGATAAAGACTTTCGTTGAAACATTCGGATGCATTTGTGTGCGTCTTTTCCATTCTCTCCGTTGAGCTTTCTAGTCGCATTTTGTGTTATATTTAGCTTCTCTGTTTTTAAGCAGTGCGTTTTGAATATGTTATCGATTGTGACTGAAAAACTAAAAAGTTTGTGTCACATGCACGTAGTTGGCATGTCTCGCGTACACCCGACAATGACTCGCATGACTTTATTTTGTATGCGTTCCCACGTCTCTATTTGGGTATGGGATAATGTTAACAGAAATAATCAGTTGCTGGTAGAGTGTACAGAGCATTTTCTGTAAAATTTCTGCGGATGCCATCACCTTCAAAGCATCGAGTCCTTTCTCTTTCTTTAAAACTACTTCCTCGCCATGGTATTTAAAAGACCGACAACTGTCAAATATCGTTCCTAGATAATTTAGTGAATTATCTCTCCTTATATTACTGTCGTTTATTCCGATGTCTCACAACACATCTCTAACAGTTCTCAAATCAACACATCTCCAACACTGTTGTTATAAAGATGACGGCACGCTTTTTTTTTTTTTTCGGTAATGCGAAGGGCTTAATATTGCTGTTTCGGACTTGCCAGAAGTAAAAATAGATGATGATGTTTTGATCAGAACCAACGTGATGAGATACCTGGGGGTGCAGTTTGATCGTAGCCTGTCGACAATGTGATAATAAAAGCACACAGAGGTCTGTTGGCAATGAGGGTCATGGCAGCTTCCAATACTGAGCAAAGACTACTAGTACTTTTTTCTCTACGGGCTGGTCCTTTCTCCTATTGAGTATACTATGACCATCCTCAGTATCAGCTCTACACAGACTGAAAGACTTGAAAAGATGCAAAATGAAGCCAATAGCATTGGTTTGAGATGTACGAGAGACACCTCCTGTCTAGCGATGAAATATCTGCTTGACTTTCTGACCATTAATCAAAGGATCAAGATCTGGAGAGCTCGTGCATATCTTAAACTAAGCGCTGACTAAAAAAAAAAAAAACCCACCCACACCTACATTGAACAAAGGCGACAGGCTGAAGAGGGATAAGTTATGGGTCTAACGTGACGAACAATTTTATTGTTAAACGAACACCGCAATACTGCTGTTTTGTCTGAACTGATGACCGAGCAGTTTCCTCCTTATCTACCTATGTGTTTCTATTCCTCTCCTGACTGTAGACTAAAAAAAACGTCGGCAAGAGTAAATATTCTCTTTATACCTACTGTTGTCTATTATCGCTATCCTGCTTGTGTCTGCACTGAAAAAGCAATTGGGAAATGTTGGAACCCTGTGGGAGGCCAGGTGCGATATTACATGGTTCAGAGGTCCACGAGCCTAGGCGAAAGACAGTATGTCATTCATACAGGACTGGTGCAATCTAATTGACAGTCCAGGGACTGACAACCATATCAGTCATATATAACACTGTTTTAGATATATTCTAAATCCATTGCCGCCACCACTGTTTCATGTTTTTTTAAAAACCACTTATATACATCGATAGCCGGGATCGTTGCCTTTTGCCATGTTTCCTTTCGTGATTGGTAACTTCCTCACCCTCTCGGTAAGACTGTATTTTCAAGGTAATCCTGTAACTTGTCTGCCACTATCTTTTCAAGAATATCACCGAGAACCTCCCGTGTGACGTCTCATAACATCCCGTATAAGAAAGAAGGTGGAGTAGGAAACGACAACCTTATGATGGCATCACAGTCAACATGTGGTAATTGTAGCGGACTTGCAGAGCATGCTTCAGAAAATAGAAACTGTCGTCCTACGCTTGGAATATCTTGCACTGCCTGAGAAGACTGTTCATGAGCTTATCACGAAATGTTTGTCCAGGTATTCTGGTGTGGGTGCAATAAGCAGACTTAGAGGTTGGCTGCTGCGGCTCCTCTGGGTAGTGAGCTACTATATGACAAAGCGGAAGTGATAAAAGCTCATGGGATCAAGTGGGCAGTGCAACAGAGCAGACCAAGCATCCATACACAGACACGTCCAGCGGGGGGAAATAGGGCGTGGGGGGGGGGGGGGGGGTGGCAGTCTGAAAGATATTTAACACTGGGAAAACATAGGCGGACTTTGAAGCAGGTTGCAACTGGTTTTCCTAGTACGTTCACTCTTCGTTGAGAGAGAAAATGGGGTGGGGGAGAAGGGTGTTTTGAGTGCAGGAATATCTGTTCTTGATTGATTGATTCATTCATTCGTTGATTCATTTACTCAAGTCCAAATCCGGACCTGCCTATTGGGTTTTCTATGACATTGTGGGAATGCAACTAGCAACGCTGGAAAGAGAGAAGCTGCTGTGTGAGATTTAACCCGCTGCAACGACGTTGATCCTTCTATCTTTAACCACCCCAAAGCAATGCTGGCAATGCAATAATGAAAACAAATACATTGTGCATAGTGATTGAAACACAAACTCAAACAACATGCTTTCAATTTAAATGTATTTTCTGACAGCTTGTGTTAAGAACTACGATGTGCAGCTTAGTAACGGTGAATCTCCAAACGGAAACATCACACAAGCTGTAATTCATCGGCTCAACAACTACAGCTGCCGCAGGTCCACTGAAATGGCAAATGTCATCGTTAACTGGTTTGTAAGAGGGTGTGTCAATAACTCTCAATACTCTGAGTATATTAAGACATATACAAGTTCTATCGTCTTATCAGTGTTTTCACTTACCTTTCACTGCTGTATGATATGTAAAGGACCCTTTTCCCTGCTTTAAAGCCAGCGTCTCTGTTTAAACACTAACTGTGTATCCACCCACATTACTCGTTACCAGGTTATTTGCAGCTTTAAAGCCGGCGTCTCTGTTTGAACACTGTGTATCCACCCACATTACTCGTTACCAGAATATGTGCAGCTTTACAGCCGGCGTCTCTGAACACTCA